TTTTATTCAACAAAACTCTTATCTTCAACATGATCCTGCTGCATTCTTTCCCATGTTTTAAATAGCTGTTATCATGACTGATTTGCTTAATGGACTTAAAGTTGTTCTATATGCTTGTTGTGTCAAATGTTTTCCCTATCTATGTGGTTTCAAACCTATATGTCCCCAACCCCTTATTTCCCTACTTGTGAATGTTGAAATGATCCTATTCTTTGAATTTGACTTGTGTGTGCTGGTTTGTTCTAAGTTGTTGTTACTCCTATTCCCTCTTCCTTTCAAAACTGATTTTCCCTAAGGCAAACTCTTCTGCTGTTTTGCAAGCTTATTTCAAACATGTTGTTCAAACTGTTTTCCAACTCAACTCTTTTAAATCTATGTCAAGCACTCTCACATATACTCTTAGATGACTAGGTTCTGCCCTTTTTGTATGAGCCTTGATTTGGGACCCTTGAGCTCCCTCTGAACTTGGACACACAAAATCTGGCCCTTCCACACAGTACTTACTCTGTCTTGGTTATACAATCTGGATGTGAGCACTACCCGGGATCCCTTGAGGTCCTTAGGGAACTCTGACACACCCTAATATGAGAAAGGCTATGGAACAATCTTGGCACTCGAGGTAATTGATTATATAACTCAGAGAGGAAGTCCTAATCAGGCTTCCTATAGTATAACTTCCTATTTTCATTTCTACTTATGTAATTCATTTCATGTTAGCCTATAATAATTTGTTGTAAACCAGTATTGGGATTGGCTATGAAAAGGGATGGGGTAAATATGCATGCTATAGTTGTTAAGGGTGGAAAACATGTTATTAGGTTTATGTTCCTAATTGCGCAATAGAAACCATGCTTAGGGTTCATACATGCATTAGAAATTATTCCCTTATGTCTCATGTTTTTTGTTTCAGCATGTGCACCTTTACAAAATCATGTGCTAAAATCTGCTAATAATTAGCACTTTACTATTATGTTCTACGCTGCCACGTGCATTTAGAAATTCTGCTCTTAGGAAATTTTGCAATCCTGCCATATGCATTCAGAAATCTTGCTCTAGGAATTCTGTATCATGAGTTTTATACATGCATCTTAGATACCATGTTTTATGATCTTATTCGTACCTGCATTCACACTTAGTGTAACCTGCTGATCATAAAAGAGGTAAAAACAGCTTCACACTTGATTATCCCATTTAAAATAACTGGTAATAATCTATGCATTCGTATCAACTAGAACAACATGCTCTTAGGGTAAAATAATTTCCAAACTGTCTTTTAATAATCCTGAATAACTACTGTACACTATTTTACGCCTAGGCAAGCCTTAGGTAATCAACTTTAAATAAAACCAGAATTGCCTTTGTTTAACTGTCAACCTGTCAAAATCAGTAGGTAAGCCTGATTCGGACTTCTTTTCTTAGTCATGTAATAAATCTGGTTCTGATGCTATCACTTAGATACCTTGCATTTAAATTCAGACCTTAATTGTGTATAAGTCATGCTGTCTATGTGCATTATTTGTGGAGGTATACATAAGCCTTCTACTCGCTTCTGTCTTTTCCCCTAAATACAGTCCTATATGTTCTTGTTTGTCGCTTAGTATTTTGCCGTTAAACCTGAGGGTCTACCTAGAGCCACCTCTTTTAGGATAGGAGTCCTAAATTCCTTCAAGACTGATAGGAAGGGATGGGTAACGACATACAATTGGTGTCTAGACCAACCTTCGCTTTAAGTATCTTTACGGGGCGAGAAAGGGTAGATATGGATATGATGACCGGTAAATTAATACCACATGTAGCCCCTCTTCGAGGAGTGTCATACCGGGTATTGCATTGATGTGATCCATATTATAAACAAACCTAGGACACCCCCTTTACATTCATAAGCATGCTTTAGATTGTAACTCATTTCAAAATTTCTCCTTTTACTAATTGTTTTCAAACACTTGTGTATTTAAACTCAAATCCCCTACTATTTGAGCCATACTTGTTTATTTGCTAATTGCACAAATTCACAAAAACTGTTTGGTCGGGAACCACACTAGTGGATCCTGAGAGGTGCCTAACACCTTCCCCTTAGGATAATTTCAAGCCCTTACCCTATCTCTGGTTTCCAAAAGGTAGTTGTAGATGAACCTTATAGGAGCCCTAACGCACCTTAAAATCGTTAGGTGACGACTCTCCAAAATTGAAAGAACCCCTTTCCAAAAGGAAAGAGTTGTCCCAACCAAATGTCATGAACCCGATTCCGCGAGGAAAAAGGGGGCGCTACAGCATGGCGACTTTGCTGGGGATTTTTAGGCTTTTACCATTTGAGATTGTTATTGTGCATTTGTACCTCCCTGTGTGCAATTATTTGTTTAATTCCTTTAAGCATTTAATTTCTTCTTCGAAATCAAAACTGACCTATCTTTTTGTTTCCTTCCTTTATAACTACTTTAAATTATGAAACTGTTGTATTTATCGCTTTCTTAACGTGCAAATACATGTCAATATGCTTTTAATTATTGCATAATCATGCTCAACATCATACTCCACTCGCGCCAAACAAATACTATAGCAATGCTTTGTGAGTGATTGCGCTCTTCCTATATCATTACCCCCTAAATTCAGAAAGGCATATTTGTGCTAAAACTAGTCGATCAGCGGTGCAATCGATGGTTTCGTGCCTTCCCCCTTGAGTTGTCCGCTCAAGAATAATAGTCTAAAACCCCATAGAAACCTTACTCTGTTAAATTGTGCATGCATCATGGTCAAACCTAGTCGGATCAGTTATGTTGTCCACGTAATGATCCTTTAAGATAGCCTTGTCCAAAAGTCCATTGGGTTTCCCTAAACCCAAACGAACATCATCACGTTCCGTGTAGTTATTTGGAGAACTAAATGTCGATGTGCTGATCATAAATGTATAAATAGTCGAGTCCGGTGGGGGTAGGGTCTAACCCCTTTGTTTTGCAGAAAATGAGGCACGAGGTCCCCAGTTTCGGTATGGTTAGCATGCCCCACTCTGCTAGACTGGTGGAGGAGTCTTCCATCGAATGATCAAATCAATTAGTGGAAACAGAGGGCCGCCAAAGCTAGCGGAAAGTTGAAATATCTGGAATACAGTCTGTTGGAATTTGAAGGAAAAGTGAGGAAGAGAGTCACCGACTGCCAGAACACTGAGGGAAATGAAGGAGAACACCTGGAAAGGGCATTTTTACTGGTGAATCTACGCAAACTGGAGGATTTGATCAACGAGAGAATTCAACCTGAGGAAGGTCCTTCTGAGGCCAAATAGATTAGGTTTACTCGCTTTCCAAATGTAATAAGGCCAAGTGCCAGTAGTGACTTATTATTATCTTAGTATCGTTTTGGGATTCATCTATTTTTATATTATGAAATAAAGCATTTATTGTCATCCGAAGTTCTCCAAGTCTATTTGTCGCTAGGCCTACCTCGGGCACAAAGAGGTTCCCAAACCAGGACACGCTTTACATTCTCGCACTTTATGTTTAAATATTGCAATACTTTTTCATAATCCTCACTGACTTGATTACCTTTTGTTTTGTTTTATTTCTTTTATTATTACCCTCTCCAAAGGTTGGTTGGTGCACTCTGGCATCATCATTTTATTTCACAAGATCCAAGGGTCTTCCACCCACTCCCCCTCTTAGTCCCATTAAAGGCAAGATGGAATATTTGAACAACATCAGGAAGGAGAACACCACTGAACGGGTAGAGGCTACTGATGGCCATGGTATTCGGGTTCCTAACGAGAATGTGTCACAACTTGAATAGAAACTATTGAAATTCCAGGAAGAGCTCATCAGGTTTGAAATGTGGCAAACTTGTCATTTTCCCTCAACACCCCATATATTGACTTCACCAACACTCAAAACCCTACACCTCCTCAAAATATCCCAAAACAACAGAATCATCCCGCTTCTCACCATCACGCTATTCCACCGAAGAACCAATGTAACACCTGCCATACCCAAATAACACTCCACTACTCATCCCAGAACCTCAGAACTCTACAAACGACCATTTCCACACCCATACACCAAGCCACCATAACACTCCTATCTAAGTGGAGACCATGCCACACTCACCCTACCTATCTCATGCATATCTGAGTCCGATGAAAAGGATCTGCTTATCAGGAACTTAGCCGAGGAACTTAAGAAACTGACCAGCCGGATTCAGGGCGTTGAGGGAAGCAAAGGAATTGAGGGGATGAACTATGAGGATCTTTGCATACAGCCTGATGTCGAACTACTCGAGGGGTACAAACCTCCTAAGTTCGAAATGTTTGATGGTACGGATGATCCAAGGGTCCATCTGAGGATATATTGTGACAAGCTGGTTGGAGTAGGCACTACTGAAAAATTGGTCTATGGTAACGCATGGAAAACTGTTCCTATAGACAGATAAACCGTTGCCATAGGAGTATTGGAACGGTTCACAGCCCGTTACATCAGCCCGCGTGCCAATAGAGCTATAGGAACTGTTATTGCAACGGTTTGCATCGCCGTTGCTACAGACGCGTCTATCGCAATGGTTTTTCCTTTCTCTGTTGGAATGAATATTCTCTCCAATTGGAACGGTTTAAAGCCATTACTATATTATATATGCAACGGTTCCTAACCGTTACCATATTATCTAACACAACACTTATGTAATCTATTGTTACTGTTAGGTATGAATATACCAACGGTTTCTTTAATCTATTGTAACTATTTTATTTGTATTGCTACGATTTACTATGACAATAGAGGAAAAAGGTATGGCAACAATTTTAACTATCTATTGGAACGGTTTATCGATCATTTAGGAACAGTTTATAGGACCTACTGCAATGGTTTGTATTGTCTAATGGAATGTTATTTGTGTCCTATTGCAACGGTTCTGGTAGGCTATTGTAACAGTTCAGTTAAAACAAAACTGTAGCCCTTGTTATAAATAAATATTTATACATTTAATAAATTATAATAACACTAGAATTTAAATAAATCACAAAATAAAACTATTAATCATATAAATAATCCATCAAGCTAATAATATTCATAAAGCAAACGTTACCCCAAGTGCATAAGTTTAATACATTTCTAGAGAGTAAGTTTCAAAATGTTGATAACAAAAGATTCCTAGAACTTTCATCATAGCAATTCAAAATTCATCTCAAGTAAGGTCTAGTTCTTCATTGCCATCATCTTCCATTTCGTGATCCACTCCACCTGCAAAATAAGATAAATAAAGTCATTACTCTTCAAGAGAATTCGGTCTAAGATATCGTGTCAATAGTTCTTGGAGATTAGAGAATTAATAATTTAAGAGTTTTTGATGTTGTCCCCATACTTCTGATTTGTGAATCATGTTGAATTTGGTGATATCACTATAAATATTTAGTATCAATTAGTATGTTGTGGATATACACAGCTGTATATGTTGAGAAGGTTATTGAGGATTTTCTTTACTTGTATAACAATAGCAGTATAAGTGTAAATGGAACTTCAATCATTTTCAGAATTTTGCCTCTCTTTTCCTAGCTGTTCTTGTGCTCAGCTATTTGGCCTATGTGAGCTATGAGATTTGTTTATTGAGACTTCAATAAAAGCAGGTTAGGGGGGAAAAGAGAAGGAAATTAAGTTCATGTAAACAAGAAAAGTTGAGTCTTTATAGCATTACTCAGGATAAATATTTTGTCTGAATTATGAATAAGTAACAAGTCTAGTTCTCTTAAAATTGAATATAGGCAAAGTGTAAAAATTACTAGACTATTCTGACTTTGGGAGAAAGATAGAAGTGGTAGAGGCGACAACACAAGGAAGGAGGAGAAGAAATTCTGACTTTGAGGCCTTGAGGATAAAACTTAGTGGAATCTGACTTGCAATTTGAAAATGCATCTAGGAACTGAGTGGAATTGTCCCTACCAGGAAGACGCAATTCATTGTGAAAAAACAAGTAATAAGGTACTGGAGTTTTATGAGAAAATGCATACTGAAAATAAGTTTGTAAATATTATTTTAGGTCTATTAATATGGTGGAATCCATATATGTCTGATGCAATTGATTTTCTATTTATATTTACATGTACTTTTTGTCTCTTATGAATAGCAGTTTCGTGCGACAATTCTGCTACAATTTGATTTCCATATGGAAATTTTTAAACACAAATAACTACTTCTATAGACACAAACAACAAGGATTGTTAAATACCAATGAAACAACAAATAACTCCATTCGATTGGACTGGACCTAATTGAAAAATCAACAAGGATAAAATAAAGAACACAAACAGAAGCTCCACAAAATATCAAAGATTGTTAAATACCAAGGAAATAATAAAGAACATACCTCTATAGACACAAAAAGAAGATTCCCAGAGGAATATCTAATTAGAAATTGGCCACAAATAAAATATCACTAGCCATTTTCATACTATCGAAAATTAAGTTATTTTCACATAGCAAAACAAATTGTACCTGCACAAACTTGGATGTTCAAGCTCCAATAAACCACCAAAAGCTAAGGTTATACAGAAAATATAGCTGAGTTACGGGACTCGCAAGTCTGCCAAAGCAGTTCTCTGCACAATACAAAAAATATGATTTGTGTATTATTTCTGAAATGAATTTTAAGGATATGAACATAAATATTGATGAAATTTCCTGTTTTCCTCATAATATCAAGAACAAAAAGGGAGGAATTATTGTATGACAAAATCCTAATTGAACTCTAACTTATATTAATAGCTTCAGAAGAAAAAACTCACAGCTTTAAAGCTGTGAGTTTAATAAGTTGAACAAGAAATTTTTTTAAATAAAGACAACTGCATCAAACAGTGAAATATCTAACAAAATATAGAATCAAAACCTATCAATTGTACCAATGCAAAGCATAATTTCAATGAAATCCACAATTTCAATCATAATAAGAAGACATGCACCAGTGTGTTTAATCTCCATTCAATCACATTATGTCGCTCAAATACTCCCAAAAATAAAAATAAGTTGAATCGGATAATAACGAACATTAATACTAAAATCTTCATTCAAAAACACAACTATCGAATGTGGTTATCTAAAATTTAAATAAAGAGAGTTTAAAAAAACTTACTGCGATTTATCCTACAACTACCAGTTGTAATTTCTTCCTCACTAATGAAATTTGCAAATTATGGATCAACTATTGAGAAATTGCAAAAAAATAAAAGAAGAATGTAAATCAGAAAATTCGCGAGAGTCAAGCAAAAACCTAGAATTAGGGCTCTGTGAGAACAAGAAGTGGTAGTCGAGCTTAGTAGAGAAAAAATCCTAGAATTTTGGGACTATTTGAAAATGCGGAGCTTGGATTAATAGAAAGAGGTGGTTGTTTCTAGTGGTGGAGATAAAGTTTATGGGTGAAGAAAAAAGAAAATCAAATCTCAGAACTAGTCGAAGAGCTGGAATGATTTTGTTGACGGTGGGATGGTGGTTGTTGTTGGCTGCTGTAGAAGGAGGTGGTTTTTGACGACCGTAGCTGTTATAGAGTTGGAGGTTCTACTGCGGAGGTTGACGGCGGGACGATGGCAGAGTCGGAGGTTGATGGAGGTTCTGAGGTGAAGTTCCTTTTGAGAGGGATGGCTAAGGGTGAAGTCCCTTTCAATTCTGTAATGTGTTTTTAATTAGGTATAGAAACTTATATTTCATAAAACAATAATATACTAGTCTATTAATTAAGACAAACAGAAATTATATAAAAATAGGGGTTCTAGCGCGAGTTTTACGAAAATTTAGGGGGCCAAAATTTTAGGGGAGGGGGGAAATAACAACCGTTCCCATTGAATTTTTTTCAAGATCCGTGGCAATAGATATATTTATTGGCACAGTTAGCATAATAAGCGTTGCAAAAACTACAATCCTATGGGAACAGTTTCTAATTAATGGCAACGGTTTTATAGCCAAAGTGTGCTGGTATCATCAATGTCATATTGCAACGGTTATAACCGTTCCAATAACTGGTCTATAGGAACAGTTTCTGAACCGTTGCAAAAACGTCCGTTGCAATAGGCCCATTTTCTAGTAGTGAGGGAAGGATGAAAGGATCCGCATGAAGCTTTTCATGAGAAGTTTGAAAGGAGATACATTATCTTGGTACATCAGCCAAGATCCTAATAAGTGGTCATACTGGTTAGGCATGACATCTGACTTTATGGATAGATTCAGGTTTAATACAGAGAATGCACCTGACATGTTCTATATCCAGAATTTGAAGAAGAAGCCCACAACGACATTTCGCTAGTATGCTACTCGTTGGAGGTTCGAAGCTGCTAAGGTCAGACCCGCCTTAGAAGAGGAGAAAATGAATAATTTCTTTGTCCGGACTCAGGACCCGCAGTACTATGAACGGCTGATGATGATCGAGAACCATAAGTTTTCCGACATTATCAAACTGGGTGAACGAATTGAAGAAGGTATCAAAAGCAGTGTGGTTACAAACTTCGAGGCCTTGCAAGCTACAAATAAGGCTTTACAGTCCGGTAGAGTATACAAGAAAAGGGACGTAGGGGTAGTGATGGTTGCATAGAGGACCAAGTCTCCCCCTAAATACCAAACTCGCCCAACACCTCCACTCATATACCAGCCAACCCCAAACTACCAAACACCCTCACCTTCATACCAAGCTCCGCCACCAACTTATCAGTCATCTCCACCTCCTGCATATCAACCTACTTCACCCAGATACTCCCAACCCGCTCATGTCTACCAAACTTATAATGGTCAGCCATTCCACTATCAATCACCCCCTACACGCCAAAATTTCCCTAGACCCCAATCTAATTTTCATCGCAGACCTCCAAAATAATATACAACCATCGCCGAACCCATCGACCAGTTGTATGAGAGGCTCACAATTGCTGGTTATGTCACCCCTATCCCTGTTGCAGCCCCTGAGAATCCTTCTCAGTGGGTTAACACAAACAAGTCCTGTGCATACCACTCCGGCATGAAAGGGCACACCATCGACGAATGCCGTTCCTTGAAAGACAAAATATAGTCTTTTATTGATAACAAGATCATTATGGCAAAAGAACCCGCTCCAAACGTCCGCAACAACCCTCTGCCAGACCATAAGGGTAGAGGTATCCACATGATTGAAATAGAAGATGGCTGGGATCCCGAGGGATCAATCGGGTTGATCGCAGAAGGTGATGACCTAAAGAAACCGACAATTACTCTCAATCCAATCATAGTCCAGATCCAACTGTCTGAGGACGCTGAGGTGAATATGTTTGTACCTCTTGAGTTTGAAGCAGCGCCACCCGCAAAGACACCTGCACTAATTAAGGTTGAATTCGTGTCTCCGGAAAATGCACCCATACCATTTGAGGTTGCAGTCTTGCCACCCAAGGCACATGGTCCACTCGAAGTGAGGATAGCCGCGCCGATCCCAGTGGTGATGTCAACCATTCCCTCATTCTATACAAATGCTATACTATGGGACTATACAGCCAAGGCAAGAAGGAAAGGCAAGGTTAGGATTGAAGAAACTATCGCAGCACATGGTATGACAACAACTGGTAGAGTCTATACCCCTGAACATCTAGCTGAATCGAGCAAGCAGGCTGCCAATCGGCCACTCCTCATTGAGACAGGTCTGGATGACCTTTGAAGGAAAATACAGGCCAAGGAATATTCAGTCATCGACCAGTTAAACAAGACGCCAACACAAGTATCCATTCTCTCTTTGCTGCAAAGTTTTGAGGCGCACAAGAATGCTTTATTGAAGGTGCTAAATAAAGCATACGTACCAAGCAACATCAATAGCGGGGAAGTGGCTAATATGGTAGGATAAGTTATGAAAAGCCATAAGATCACCTTTCATTAGGACGAGCTGCCACCTGAAGGGATGGGGCACAACAAAGCACTGCACATCACTGTGCAATGCGAAGATTATTTCATCACCAGAATCCTGATCGATAGAGATTCCAGTCTTAGCATTTGTCCGCTGGTAACACTCAAGAAGTTGGGTAAAGGGATACATGAGATAAAGGTTGGAGCAATCAATGTGAAAGCCTTCAATGGTTCTCAAAGGACCACCATTGGTGAGATTATTCTATGCTTGCAGATGGGACCAAGCTGGTTCGAGGTCGATTTCCAGGTAATAGATATACCAGCGTCTTACAACTTGCTACTAGGATGGCCATAGATTCATTCTACTGGGGCCATAGCATCAATGCTGCATCAGGCAGTAAAGTTCGAATGGAATCACCAGGAAGTGATCATTCACTACGACTGTACCAACCCTATATACAATTGCCAGACCATTCCGGCAATCGAGGGAAGAAGGAAGTTAGGTGGAGAAACTTACCACCACATTGAACAGGTCAATGCTATCGACAAAGACATATTGTGGGATAGTAAAATCGAGAGTATACTAAGTTGGAGTAGGTATGAACCCGGCAAAGGGCTCGACAAGAACCTCCAAGGAATCTCTAAACCCATAAAACTCAAGAAACATGACACTAGTTTCGGTCTGGGATATGAATACACCTAGGAAGAATTCAACAACTGGTCGCAACCATGGCGTGGTCCTTACTATCCACTAGAGTAGCCTATACCACATCTGGAGCAGACCTTCCAATAGGCCAACATTATTTATGGGTCAGATGAAGAAGAAGCACTTGCAGCAGTGAAGAACTTGTTTCTAGAGGACAATAATATGGACTGTTGTGTTATTCTCAAGGAGGAGGGGGAGGAAGGCCTTCCATACAGGCTATGAGAAGAGGGACACATCTCAAGAATTGGACCATCAGGACAACCAAAGCCCGATGAGCCTCGGGGTAGCAAGGCTAAAACAAACATTATTAACTGTTTTATTTACTAAATGATTTTCTTTTTGCATTTTTCAATTCCCGCAATAAGATCTTCGATGTTCAAAACAGTTATTCAATTTATCAAAAGAACTTTTGATTTTTCTTATAAATTAATATTTATTGCTATCGTTTTCTCTCCTTGCTTTACCAATACCGCATTACTATTACTTGTCTTGATGAACCAATGACTGTGACATGCAATGAGACAACGCAACAAACAGACATTGATTCAGAGGAAGATGGCATACCTGATAAGATTGTCAAAGAAGTTGAAGACTTTGAGAACAGACCTAAGTCCAAACTTTGAGCACCCTCCGAACATATTCGTGTGATCATATCACCAATGTAACATCATGAACATCTAATTGAGCCTTAAGATCAATGAAATATCTCCAAAATTCCTTTCAAACATCAATTTCCCAATTAGGGTCCGGATCGCGTCAAACGACATNTCAATAACACAAGCTCGGAGCATATCCTCCAATATCTGAATAGTCCGCTCGGACTGTCCATCCGTTTGAGGATGAAATGCTGTACTCAACTCAACCTAGGTGCCTAACCCTCACTAAACTGCTCTCCAGAAATGCNAGAATGACTCAAGTCATATATAAGACCTGTACCGGGCGCCGGAACCAAAATACAGGCCCGATACTAACACGTTCTGATCAAATTTCATTTCAATTTTTTTTTCTTTAAACATTTTCAGAAAACAATTTCACTTAAAAATTCATAACTCGGGCTTGGGACTTCAGAATTCGATTCCGGGCATACGCCCACATCCTATATTTTCCTACAGACCTTCCGGAACCGTCAAATCATGGGTCCGGGTCCGCTTACCCAAAATGTTGACCGAAGTCAAGTTTATTCATTTCGAGGTAAAAACTTAGAAATTTTCACAAGATTTCACGTTTAATCTTTCCGGCTATGCGCTCGAACTGCGCACACAAATCGAGGCGACTCTAAATGAGGTTTTCAGGGCCTCGAAGACATAGATTTCAGTTAGAAACAGGTGGGTCATCACATTCTCCACCTCTAAAACAACCGTTCGTCCTCGAATGGACATAAGAAGGAAGTACTTGAGTCGGGGAAAAGATGAGGATACCGGTCCCGCATATCAGACTCAGACTCCCAGGTCGATGCCTCAGGGGGGTTGACCTTTCCACTGAACACGAACCGAAGGAAAACTCTTCGACCTCAGCTGGTGAACCTGTCGGTCTAGAATAGCCACCGGCTCCTTCTCATACGACAAATCCTTGTCCAACTAGACAGTGCTGAAATCTAACACATGGGATGGATCACCGTGATATTTCCGAATCATGGACACATGAAACACTGGATGCATGACTGATAAGCTAANTAAACCACCAGGCCTCTAATGCTCATACTTAACCTGCTGACAATTCAAACACCGAGCCACATAGGCAACGATATCCTTCTTCATTCTACGCCACCAATAATGCTGCTGCAAATCCTGATACATCTTCGTGGTGCTCGGATAGATAGAGTACCGGGAACTATGCGCCTCCTCTAAAATCAACTCTCGAAGCCCATCCATATTAGGCACACAAACTCGACCCTGCAATCTCAGAACTCCATCATCACCTAAGGTAACCTGCTTGGCACCTCCACACTGCACCGTGTCTCTAAGGACACACAAATGGGGATCTTCAAACTGCCGATCATGAATACGCTCCAATAACGAAGAACGAGCGACCGTGCAAGCTAATACTCGACTAGGCTCAGAAATATCCAACCTCACAAACTGGTTGGCCAAAGCCTGAACGTCCAAAGTAAGCGGCCTCTCACCGACCGGAATATAAGCA